TGGGGCAGGCAGGGCTTCCATTGGGGTTCTGCTGCGGCTTCTCCGGTTCTCAGAGCGCTGATGCAGGCCTGGGTTGACATGATGCCCGGCCAGCCTGCTGGTCCAATGCCCAGGTTGACTTGGTACTGCAGGAGCTGCCTGCCCAGGCCCGGGTTGACATAGTGCTGCAGGAGCCTCCTGCCCAGGCCTGGGTTGACCCCGGTGGGGGGAGCCAAAGGGGCTATGCCCTCCTGCCACTTGCCCAGCCAGCATGGGGAGGCACGATGCAGGTGTGGCTTGCTCCAGGTGGCAGCAGGGCATAGCCCCCTGTGGAAGAAATCAAACTTCACATTGTGGTTGAATCGGAACTGACAGAGCCAGCTTTTCTTTAAATAGGGTTATACTGTGATCACAGGGAGGATTTCGTACAGCAAGGGGAATCACCCACTTGTCTGTTTCAAAGGAATCTTCCCTCTCTATAAGTTTACAAGCATATTTATACTTAAGACAGAGAAAGAGAAAAAAAAAATGACCTTGGAGAAACCAAAATAGACATCCAGGCAATTTACTTAAATAAACATCTGTGTAGAGTAATAAGGCATGCAGGATTCCTCATCTCAGAACATGTAACTGAAATGAGCAGTATCAGCACTTCTGGTCTCTGTCTGTTTTTCTAGTCAAGTAGGCCAGAAGCCCAACTAAATTTATTACCACGTTCCCTGGTTTTTTGGATTTTTTTTCTAACGAGTTAGATATGTATAGCCATTAGCTTTTTAACTTCTAGTTTTTCTTTCTTTTTACTTTTTGCTATTTTAACATACAAATTATATACTTCGTTTTTGGTTGATGGGCTATTCTGCATTTGCTAGGCAGCACAACTTAAGCAACATTGTACTATCATAAACACCAGGCATACTCCAATAAAAACAACAAACAATATTAACAAACTATGAATGACGGAAGAGCCTAAAGAACTGAAAATTGAGCTAAACCAAGAACTCAGATTTCAACTATTTGACTCATGCAATTTAGCTGCTTCTTGTAGAATGTTTACTTAAATCCTGGATTTTTTTTTGAAGTACTGAGAATATAAGTACAACATTTTTTATCTATTGAAGCATAGACGACTCCTTTGCTGGCTAGTATATAATCTAACGCAAGTCGGTTTTGCAATGTCATTTGCCTTATTTCTTTCATTTCTGTATTTATTTTATCAAAACTATCAGCAGTAGCGTTAGCGATCTTTTCCAGAGATGCTGCAACTTTCTTTATCTTGGACATAGCTAAGCCTGCGCCATAGCTGGGGAACATTATACCACAAAACCTTTAATTTTTTTGTAATTTTGCAAACATTGCGAATTCTTCCTTTAGGTAAGTGAGATCTAATAGTAAAGGCAGGATATGCTGTGGAGACATAGCATGTTTTTTTCCAACCAGAGGGAAGATTTTTATAGGCCTTATCTTTCCACACAAAATAGTGACCAACTAATGCAGTATATCCACCTGTATTACAGTGTGGGGACATCATCCAGTGTGAATAATAGCCTGAAAATTGACCTGCAGGGGAGTAGTTAGATATCTAGGAACCATTAGAAAACCAAGCACCATTTATCTTAAATTCTACCTTATGCTTACTGACTCCTACTGCAACATGAGATCCATTACAGGTCCAGCAGAACTTTCCAGGGGTGGCATATGCTAATTGTACATAGTCAGACTGGTTGCAACTTACATTCTGCCAAGTTTCGTTTCCGTGAAAATCTGAATAGTAAGGGGCTAACATCTGAGTTGCATTCAAGGGTACCAGTATCAAGGGTATTCCTCCGGTAGAGTAGATAGGGACATGACTACATATCCAACAACGAGAGGCATTTAAATCTATCCCAATTTGATTAAAGACAAGAACATATTTTCATGAAATGATCTTTTTTGTTGGTGTGGAAGTATAGTTTGGTTTACAGAGTTTTTTATAACTGATGAGTCAAG